CACCGTCGACATCCTCCAGTGCATGGGCCGCGCGTCGCGCGTCGCGCCGGGAAAAGCGTTCGGCTACATTCTCGTGCCGGTCAGCGAGGAGGCGGCCGATGGCGGGGCACATGGCAGGGCGACGGCGGTTTTGAGGGCGTATGCCGAGCAGGACGCGGAGTTCCGCGAAGCCCTCGCTGCGCTCGTCAGCGGCGAGGCGCGCGCAGGGGGGCCGCTCGACTACTCGGAATGGCCAGAGGCGCTGCGCAGCGTGCTGCTGCTGCCAGATCGCGGCGACGTGCAGCGCGCGGCGGAGCGGACGGTTGCGACGGTGGCGCGGGAGCTCATCGACCGCTGGGAGCGAATGTTTGGGCTGCTGCAGGCCTTCCGGGAGCAAGAGGGGCACGCCAATGTGCCGCGGAAGCACGTGGAGGATGGCGAGCAGCTTGGCGGATGGCTCAGCCGCCAGCGCAAGCTTCACAAACAAGGGCTGCTGCCGGGAATGCGCGCTCAACGGCTGGAGGCGGTGGGCGTGGTGTGGGATGCTCGGGCGGAGCAGTGGGAGCGCATGTTTGGGCTGCTGCAAGCCTTCCGGGAGCGAGAGGCACACGCCAACGTGCCGGACAGGTACGTGGAGGACGGCGAGAAGCTTGGTTCATGGCTGCAGACGCAGCGGAAGCGCTACAAGGCGCGAGGGTGGAGCGAGGCGGAGCGCAAACGCGGGAAGGCCAGCGCGATGAGCGACGAGGAGGTGGAGCGGATGGAGGCGTTGGGCGTGGCGTGGGACCCGCTGGCGGAGCAGTGGGAGCGCATGTTTGCGCTGCTGCAGGCGTTCAAGCAGCGTGAGGGGCACACCAATGTGCCAGCAAAGCACGTGGAGGATGGCGAGAAGCTAGGTGTCTGGCTGTCGGACCAGCGGAAGCGCTACAAGGCGCGAGGGCTGAGCGAGGCAGAGTGCAAACGGTTGTCGGTCAGTGCGATGAGCGACGGGGCGGTGGAGCGGTTGGAGGCGGTGGGCGTGGTGTGGGATGCTCGGGCGGAGCAGTTGGAGCGCATGTTTGGGCTGCTGCAGGCGTTCCGGGAGCGAGAAGGGCACACCAATGTGCCGTACCGGCACGTGGAGGACGGCGAGAAGCTTGGTGTCTGCCTGTCGAACCAGCGGAAGCGCTACCAGGCGCGAGGGTGGAGCGAGGCGGAGCGTAAATGCAAGAAGGCCAGCGCGATGAGCGACGAGGTGGTGGAGCGGCTAGAGGCGTTGGGAGTGGCGTGGGATGTGCTGGCGGAGCAGTGGGAGCGCATGTTTGGGCTGCTGCAGGCCTTTCGGGAGCGAGAGGGGCACGCCAATGTGCCGTACCGGCACGTGGAGGACGGCGAGAAGCTTGGTGTCTGGCTGGGGACGCAGCGGAAGCGCTACCAGGCGCGAGGGCTGAGCGAGGCGGAGCGTAAACGCAGGTATGCCAGCGCATTGAGTGACGAGGAGGTGGAGCGGCTAGAGGCGTTGGGCGTGGTGTGGGATGTGCTGGCGGAGCAGTGGGAGCGCATGTTTGGGCTGCTGCAGGCGTTCCGGGAGCGAGAGGGGCACGCCAACGTGCCAAGCGGGCATGTGGAGGACGGCGAGAAGCTTGGATCTTGGCTGTCGACCCAACGGAAGCGCTACCAGGCGCGAGGGTGGAGCGAGGCGGAGCGCAAGGGCAGGAAGACCAGCGCGATGAGCGACGGGGAGGTGGAACGGCTGGAGGTGGTGGGCGTGGTGTGGCAGCGCCGTGGCACACCCACATAGCGGTCGAGATGTTACGAGATCGAAAGATAAAGAGGAGAGCATAGAGCATGTCCAAAGACACAAACGAGGTAGGTAGGTAGGAAGGTGAAGAAGAGTGTCAGGTCAGGCTCGATTAGGCTCCACTGGACACGTCGAGTGAATTCTTTTTGAGAGCGCCTTCGTTGTTAAATTCTTTTTCTCGCCTGGAGCTAGCTCGAGCTTCTCTCGCAGCCTTCGCCCATGACGGGCCTCAAAACGCTCCTGCTTCTCCTGGTCGGGCTGCTGGAGATCAGCAAGGCGCCGCAGTGCAGCCGCCAGCGTGCCCTCCGCGCGGCGCGCTGATCGCCGATCCCGCGCCTGTAGGCTCTGGTGGTCACACCGCTCGTGTTGGGGCGCCGCGCCGCTGTCGCTGCGGGCGACATGCTGCAGACCGAACGCCATACCCAGCACTGCGTGTGCATGGCCTGCCGCAGCAACCTGAAGAAGGAGAAGCGGCTGCGCAACCGCGTCAACGCCTTCCGGTACAAAAAGGGCGGCTTCGGTGCGCGCCGCTCCTTCCCCGCGCCTCCCTCCCCACACCACCACCATCGCCTCCTCCCCACCATCCATCGCTCCCTCCCTCGCCCCCTCCAACCCGCTCCTGCCTCCTTCCTGTTTCCTCCCCCTCCTCCTTCTTTGCCTCCGCCTCCCCTCGCCTCCCCCACCTACCGCGCCCGCCTCTTCCTCCACCGTCCCCCCACACCCCGCCCGACTCCGTCTTCTCCACCCCGCCCGTCTCCGCCGCCGCCCTTCCTGCCGCCGCCGCTTCCCCACACGAGCGCGGGCGAGGGGTGGCGGCGCTGGCTGTGCGGGGGATTGCTGCGATGCAACAGCATCGGCCGCCGCGGCCGCGCCGCTCCCCCTCGCCGCTGCCGCCACCCTGCCGTCTCCCCCCTCTCCTCACGGCTGCATCTCTCCCCCCGCTCTTCCGCCTCTCTCCCTCCGTCCCC